CAGCTGGCTACGGCTCTGATAACAGGGGAAGTGCTGCAATCCATAACCGCCAATCGGAATCCATCGTTCACTAGACTGGCTCCGCTGCGTGCTCGTGGTGTATTGCTGCTCTCTGCATCGCCTTGCTAGATAACCTTGACGCCTCCCCATTGTCCTTTGTCACCTTCCAGGATGTCGTGTTCATTTGGTGAGAGTTTTAGGGTCGGCTTCTTCTCCGGAGCCGTGGCTCTGAAAGTGTTCGGTTCTTGGGACTTCAAAGTGAACCGGATCCGATGTGTGCACAGGCAGAAGGAGAACATTTACATGCAGCTGAAGGTGAGTCCACATTTGTCAATGACTTTGCTAGATGAAACATCTCCCACTCTCTGGTCCCCATGGGTAGCCTAATCTCAGCCTAACCCTAGAGCCTTGGGCGTATAGATCAGAGAAGATGGTCGGGTTGACCCACAAACACACATTCCCATCTTCAATCTTCAGACTCTGTAACTTTCCACTACGACATAGGCCTCCACCCCTCTGAGCCATACCAAAGAACACCAATAGACTTCCATAGACCTTCTCCATTTTGACTCTCTAAGACAAATATTGCCATTGTTTTGGCACCTCGCAAGGTTCCTTCCTCTAGACGATGCAGTCGTCCTGTAGAGTGATCCTTCCTCATTGTAGCGTTTTAAGGAAGGGACATGGTGAGACTCCAAAGCGTTGGTAATATTTGTCTTGGGGGATGTTGGAGAAATAAACACATATTCTTCTTTCACTTCATGGTGAGACATCTTAGAGAAGAGGCTTTGTTGGCCCTAATTCCACATGGCACCAATGGCGGAGTATATATGTATGTTCCTGCTCCTTTGTATGTTCAGTATTGTTCAGTAAAAACTATTGAACAAGAAAACTGTTGTACGGTTGGCCATATGAACTAGAATTACTGCGGCATCCATCTCCGGTTGGCCATACGAACTAGAATTACTATGGCATCCATCAACGGTTGGCCGTATGAACTAGAATTACTATGGCATCCATCTACGGTTGGCCATGTGAACTAGAATTGCTATGGCATCCATCTACGGTTGGTCGTATGAACTAGAATTACTATGGCATCCATCTACGGTTGGCCGTATGTTCTAGAATTACTATGGCATCCATCTACGGTTGGCCGTATGTTCTAGAATTACTATGGCATCCATCTACGGTTGGCCATGTGAACTAGAATTGCTATGGCATCCATCTACGGTTGGTCGTATGAACTAGAATTACTATGGCATCCATCTACGGTTGGCCGTATGTTCTAGAATTACTATGGCATCCATCTACGGTTGGCCGTATGTTCTAGAATTACTATGGCATCCATCTACGGTTGGCCATGTGAACTAGAATTACTATGGCATCCATCTACAGTTGGTCGTATGAACTAGAATTACTATGGCATCCATATACGGTTGGCCATGTGAACTAGAATTGCTATGGCATCCATCTACGGTTGGCCGTATGAACTAGAATTACTATGGCATCCATCTACGGTTGGCCGTATGAACTAGAATTACTATGGCATCCATCTACGGTTGGCCATGTGAACTAGAATTACTATGGCATCCATCTACGGTTGGTCGTATGAACTAGAATTACTATGGCATCCATCTACGGTTGGCCGTATGTTCTAGAATTACTATGGCATCCATCTACGGTTGGCCATGTGAACTAGAATTACTATGGCATCCATCTACAGTTGGTCGTATGAACTAGAATTACTATGTCATCCATCTACAGTTGGCCATGTGAACTAGAATTGCTATGGCATCCATCTACGGTTGGTCGTATGAACTAGAATTACTATGGCATCCATCTACGGTTGGCCATGTGAACTAGAATTACTATGGCATCAATCTACGGTTGGCCATGTGAACTAGAATTACTATGGCATCCATCTACGGTTGGTCGTATGAACTAGAATTACTATGGCATCCATCTACGGTTGGCCATGTGAACTAGGCTTGCTACGGCATCTATCGTTGGTCTGCTTTCATTCTCGGCTTTATTGGGTGTTCTTTGCAGGAGCTGCTGAGCGAGCTGATGTGCGAGCGCCGTCCTGATCTCAGGAAGAAGATGCAAACCATCTGCATTCACGTCTTCTCCTGGACTCTGTGCATGGCCAGCTGGTTGGGCTCCGCCGTGGCCGTCTACGTCCTTTCAGAGTATCTGCACAAGGTACGTTCTTGGTGGACTCTGCTTTCACTAGCCCAGGGACTTGTGTTGCTTGGGGCCGCTCTGGATCTGAATGGATCCTCCCCCCGGGGTCAGGTGTTGGCTTCTCACAAGTGGTGGGATTGGCGGTTCGCCGCGGCTCTGACCATTCTGCGTTTGTGATTTGTGCAGGATCATCGGGCGCGGATGAGGAGTGAGAGAGACCTGGAGGGGGAAGCCATGTTCCTGTTGCTGCCGTTGGCCGTGTCTCTGTGTAACCTTTTACTGCCGTACATGTATCACGCCCTGCGGCGCTGGGAGCGCCTGGACTCTCCTATACTGGAAGTGTACATTGCCATCTGCAGGTAAGAGTCCGTATCTAAAGCCACCAATAACGTCCTCTATTGCAGCTTCCCAGTCCTTGCATGCGGCGGCTGCATTCGTTTATTTATCCCCTTTATCATCACCTGGTGATCCTGCCAGTAACACACTTCCTGTCCTGGGGTGACAACACTCACCCCCCATACAGTATCAATGGAGGGCGACAAACAGGAGGTTTGTTGGGGCTGCAGAACACCTGCTCCCCTCCTCATCTACATAACATAGCGGGGGGTGAGCTGTAGTTCGCAGGGCTGATAACAGGACTGATAACAACTGTCATCATCACATAAGATTTCTGGCAGGATCAACAGGTATGTTTTTTGCCCTTTGCTGAGCAGATAACTGTGAGCTGTAGCTCCCTATATACTGAGCTTAGGGTGACGGAAGGACGCTAGTTTGTGTCCTCCCGTCATGGGGAAAAGCCCTGACCTCGTAGTTCTCCTTTAAGGGACCAAGTAAGAGAAGGACATTTTTAGGGTTTACATCGGATTTGTCTGGAAAGTGTGACCACCTAAGAGCGCAGAGAGGGAGCGCGCTGAGGTTGAGAACATGGAACCCGATGTGCGGGGGAAGGGTTGGGGAGGTGTATCGGCACGCACTAGGGCCGGAGGGGCCAGGATGGAGGGGACAAATCTAACGATCAGAAAACAGGGACGCCCCCTGCTAGTCTGACGCCAGCAAATGTAAAACATGGGAGCCGGGGATTTCATTTGGGAGACCCGTCTCTGTGACACATGCCCATCACATGACTCGTTCTCCTCATGAATATGCATCCATATGTGGAGTATTGGTTTTAGGCGGAGTACTTCTTTAACATTTAAGTTTTTGTTATTGTTGACGATCTTGATGAACGTTTTTATTTTTTTTACCAGGAATCTTATGCTGAAGATTGTCGTCCTCGGCGTTCTGTGTTACCACTGGTTAAAAAGGAAGGCCAATCACGCGGAGTATAAGGTTTGCCATCCGATTGCATTCACGTTCCAGGGGTGACTGGGCTGTCACGCCAACATGGCGGTCACTGCCGGAGAGTTGAGCTGGCCATTAGCGGCTCCAATTTCAGCCAATTTGCACACAATCAGATGAAATTTGGGCTAGGGGGAGCCCTGCAAGCCCCCCGGTCCAAATGCGGCCATAGAAGTCAATGGGACCGTGCCATAATAACCTGCGCCAACGCTCGGCATGCGGCACCGTATGGTAAATGTAAGGCTGGGTTCACACCTAGGCGTATCGATTATGCGCGTTTCGTGACGCACGTTTCTACCGCGGTAAAAAAACGCGTGACAAACGCGCGTTTCCGAGGGCTACCTGGCTGTATCCCAATGGAAACTCGCGACAAAAACGCCCCAAAGAAGCTCCTGTACTTCTTTGGGCGTAGGGCGTTTTGTAGCGCGTTCATACGCGCTGTAATACGCCCGGGTGTGAACCGTACCCATAGGAAACAATGGGATTTCGGTGTTTGAGCGTTTTGCAGAGCGTAGGAACGCGCTACAACACGCCCAGGCGTGAACCGGGCCTAAAACCACCTTACCGCCTCCTGAACCTGCAAACCGACGTTCAGCCACCTGTGAGAGGCGATCCGCCGCAGACACCTTTCTGAGGGGTGCGTAAAGTCCACCGCCTGTGTCAATGAAGCCCAATGCCCTAATTCACTGCCGTGATCTGCTGGAGGCCGGTGATCGCCGACCGGTCTTGTTGTCACCCCTCGCGTTAGGTCATAATAATCCTTTTGATGGAGCCAATGGGGAGTCACTAGGAACTGACGTGGGAGCTGGAAGTACCACCGTCCCCACACTACAGACCTGAAGATAGAAGACTCGGGACACGGCCCGTCATGTGACTGCGGATTTGGGCTTGTAATAATATATGTTGCGCATTAGCTAGAAGCGGGATCAGGGAGTCGGTATTGAATTGTCCGGATTTAAAGTGTATTTCCACTTTTGCAGTCAAATTTGCATACCTAAAAAAAATGTATTTTTTACCCCAATATTTCTGCCTTTTATAACCGTTTCTGTGGAGCGGGATCACACACAGGACTCTACGGGCAACTTGAGGGACAAGACATAGAGATGGCACATTATTATACAATGCATCACCCAAGCCTGGAGACCTTTAACCCTTTGTTAGGACAGACAGTGCTAAAGACCGGGTTAAAGTGACGCTAAACTCCGGAGTGAAATCTTAAAAATCCCCCCCGAGTCCCCGAACTCTGAACAACAATGTATCTTATTTGTGTATCACTCGGCTGGAGATCCTCCAATCATCTCTGACACTGTCCTTCCTTCTGGAGGGGGGGCTACGTCTGTTCCCCATGGTCCCTGTGTGTGTGGTAAAGTAGTCACCGCTCCAAGCTCCGCCCTCCGGGATGGACTACAATCTCATGTTTACTGATTTGCACTGAGATTGTAGTCCATCCCGGGGGGGAGGGGGTGCTTGGAGCGGTGACTACAACACACACAGGGACCATGGGGAACAGACGTAGCCCCCCTCCAGAAGGAAGGACAGTGTCAGAGATGATTGGAGGATCTCCAGCCGAGTGATACACAAATCAGATACATTGTTGCTCGGAGTTCGGGGACTCGGAGGGGTTTTTAAGATTTAACTCCGGAGTTTACTGTCACTTTAATTATGGCAAGTGCAACTCCCCAGCCCCCTCATGAACTGTACAGAGAAAGGGAAGCTACGTAGGAGATTTCAGTCCTGGTGTGTTCAGAAAAGGCCGGCGATTTCTAATGCTCTTCTCTGTAGATGGGAATATGGAATGGGTGTATGAAGTAGGTGTTGGGACTTTCCTACCCACTAAAAATGAAAAGTTCATAGGAGGATGACATGAGAGCGGGCACCCTGCGGATTTCTCATTCATGAGACCTTTTCTGTTCTTATTATAATCTACGTCCTGGTGCTGAGTCCAGTATTTGTTGTGTTTCAGTGCTGGGAGACGCTGGTGGGTCAGGAGTTGTACCGCTTTGTCATCATGGATCTGATTTTCAATCTGCTGGACACTCTGTTTGGAGAGCAGCTATTGAGGTAAATCTGTCAGTTCAAGCTGTAGCTGCACCC